ACCGGTTCCAGAAAAATACTTCGTTATAAGCCATCTTCGTTAAAGTGAGAGTTCGTTAAAGTGAATGTCACTGTGTATAATAAATGTGGGAGAAAGCTACCCATTTAATGATATGTTTTTGAATATATTTTCGGGTAGGTAACATCAGACTTATTCATAGTTTATATACCCGCCTTCCTATATAGTTGGTCAAAGTCAACCCACTTTTTTACTACGTATGTTCTTGGATATATTTCTAGTGTCAAAAATTCCAGCAAACAAAATCGGCATACTTTAATATAACATACTCGATAGCATTTTTTGATAGCGTAACCTAAAATTATGAACAAGATACATCACTATTTGGTTCCCCATGAATTTATTTGAATGCGTAATTACAGAAAAATCTCCTGCAATAACGATGCAACCACAAACACGTCATCAGTTGGACAAATAGACAACTTTACCGGCAACTCCACAAGCCAACTTTTGCAATAATGACGCAATCTCAAACTCGTCGTCACTTGGCCGTACGCCTAACAAATAAACGATTTTTTTTTTCGTCTCTGCTGGCTAACGCCGTAGGCTAACTTGTCAACTCCTACAACGACGACGTAATCGCAAACTCGTCGTCACTCTACGTACCGGCGACTTTTTCACCTCGATGGTTACACGCAATGTAAGCACAATCATGTCGTCACTCGAATAACGACGCAAATGCAAACACACATCGTCACTTCATAACTGTTTACTTCTTCAGCTAACACCTCAGTTGACATTCTCGGCAATGACGATGCAAACACGATCATGTTATCTTGAATGACGATGCAAATGCAAACCCATCGTCACTTCGTAGCGGCAGACTTTTCCAACACCCTCAGCTGACTCCCTCGATGGGTACACAGGCAAATGACGATGCAAGCACAATCATGTCGTCACTCGAATAACGACGCAAATGTAAACTCATCGTCTTGGGATGATTATAGTCTCTTAACGAAAATTAACCGATTTAGGTACTAATTCCATCAAAAATGGCACCATTTCATTATCTTGAGATGGTTAACTGATTTATGTACTAATTCCATCAAAAAAATGACCTTATTTAAGCACTAATTCCCATTGGGATGGTTATAATCCCACTAACATAATAATAAGCTCATCAAGGTATGTGGTCTCACTTTTGCATGCCACAGATCTGCCATGGCTTTGTATCATGGGGTTTTTTGAGTCACTTACTCATATGCTTCTGCAGAAAAATATCCCAAAATGACCTTATCCAAAATTATTGTCCCCCTGTTCTCATTTATGCTGACCTCGATAAAAGTACTACTACCATGAAATCTGACTACATATACAGTCGCGTTCCCAAGGACGTTTTAATTATTAATTTGGGAAACCTTCAAGGAGGAAGCTCAAAAAGCTAATGTGTTCCCAAAATCGCATATATGACCTCCCATACTTTACACAATATAGTTCAATTTCATGTGAGGAGGATGTTCAATAGATATTCCCGGAGATAGTAATAGAAAGTTTGGTATCATTAATTTTAGGGGGCAATTTTTTCTCCTTGAGCTTTCTAATAATGCTGTAATTCTTTGGTTCCATGGTGGATTTGATGTAAATTAGTTTCATATTATATTTTTATCTAGAGGTAGTCCTATATTAATATTAATATGGAACATGTTATAATAATAATAATAATAATGATGATGTTACATTTTGGTGCGATGTTGATACAATTTAAAATAATTGTAATAGTTAAAATGTTATTAATCAAATTAGTTAATTTTCAGCCACATCAGCCTCTCATTTATGTCATATTAATATAACAGAATGTTCACTTTGTCTGGTTTTGTTGCAGCATGACCAGTATATTGATTGATACTCATCTGGATGATACTACTGCTACTCATCACTAATTGACTCCACGAAGTACTAAAGACAGAAGCCCCTAATACCTAATTTCAAAAACCAGATCTTATGAATTATTTATATTCACAAACAATAGAACAGGTCGGGAGATATCAGAAGTGAAAAACGTCATAATGAGTATTGTGAAGGTTTAAGTCACACAGAGAAATTATACAAAGAACAATTGAACTCTTATCGAACAATAGACGCAAACATGTGAATGTTGATTCAACTGAAAATGTCTGACGTTTTTTGAATTCAGTGATATTAATATTGGATATCGCAAAACTTGAATGGATGTCTTTGTATGAAAGCTTTGGATCCTTGATCAGTAATATGCAATCATAATAATAAGTATCCGAACGAACGGACGAACGCTTTGAAAATTTCCCTGCGCATAAATTATAACTGATCAACTGTCAAAGTTTTTACCTCGCGATTTCATATGCCATACTCTTTCGTAATTCTTTTTTTCTCTACATATACACCGTGAAAATGTTTCATGTTAACGTAATTAAGATGCTGTTGATTGCTACTACAAAATTTAGTAATAGTAATAATAATGATACTGGTAAATACTGTAAACGTTTACAACTTTCATATTCATCTTTGTAGATCTCATTACTAGTACAATTGATCGAAAAAAAAGAGATTGTTAATGAGATCACTTACTTGGTCACTTATACAGCTATTTGCTAAAATGGCTTTAACATGTATCTTGGTTTGAAAGAAGTTGCATAATCACAATAGAGTATTCCAAGGGCTAATACTGTGTTTAATATTAATATATATAAGAAAGTCAAATAACTATTCTAGGGAAGACAAAAAGAACGTAGTAAATGTCTACACTAACAACATTATCTCGCTCATCATGACATCATCGCAACCATTAACTGCCGTATACTCAATCGTTATCAGCAATATCCTCACTACCAAATAAAATTTCTGCATCAATCGCAAATGGATCATGAAAGTCTTTTCTGGATATTAAACACAGTCTATCGACTTTGAACTCAATAGGGTCATTAGCAAATAATGGTGTGAATTTCTTGATTGCTTCGAATGCCTTTTTCTAGCAAGTATCCAATGTCATGTTAATAGAATTATCAATAATGAAAGAACCGGACGACGATTAATTCTTGGTATTCGACTACTACCATTCCAGTTATAGATACACACCTCTCCATTAAACTGGCCGAGAGACAAGTGTGGTTCATATCCGAGTTCACCTCCACGAAGCACTAGATCATTAAATGTTGGGAAAGCATCCACAAGTACAGCCTCCAAGTTTTCCAATGCGCCATTGGTTTCTGGCTTTAACCAAACAGTTGCGTTATTTATACTATGTGCAAAGTAGTCCAAACTTTTGAATGTAAGTTTAAACGGTTTGACGTTATTAAGCACGGACTGTAGCTCGGGAATGAGTGGATCATGCGTGAATGGATATAAAACATTAACATGCGGCATCCATCTTTTATAATGTTTGTCATGAAGTACTCGAATGTTTTGGATGCGAGGCCAACAATTATCTGGAGGTATTATGCAGAGAGCCGATTTGAACGACTTTCTTAATAGTTGTGAAGATGAGGCGGATTCCATGCAGAAGGTATTCTTTGACGTGCAACAAGACCAAGTGAAATGTGACGTCATGTTATTACCTTGAATAGACTTTTTCGGAACAAATGTCCCATCCATACTCACTAACGCGGTAGGAATAACTACGGGCGGCAAAATTCTTTATTTCTACATTGTTGCTTAATTCTTGGCCTCTGTCTTTTTTACCTCGGCATCATATTGAAGAAAGTTCAAACTCGAACATGTTCTCATACACATGCTCTAAGATTGTGCTAACGGTCATGCATCTGGTTGTATAAACATCAAATTCAAAAATTGCTTACGAAATTTGTCCAATAAACGAGCATTAACACCAACTCAAGAAATAGAAGAACTATAGATTTAAGCCCATACTAATATATAACTTCCTATTACTATACAGTCTAACTCGTTATGTTTAAAGTGTCGGTATTACAATGATAATAACGTGACTTGCGGTGATACAACAAGACAATTTTTGTAGTCTCTTGAACATCTTGCGAAAGAATGCCGAAAGAGCGCGTCGTTGTTACTCCAAAGCAAACCGCTTCGCCCTATGGCAAGGCAGACAAGAATACAACGTCTAAAGTCTCCAATATATCAGAAAAACCGGTAAAAGGCAAAAAAGCCACAACTCATACTGGTTCGTCCATACGAACTGAGGAAAAGAAACGCAAGACAGTATTTAAAGCTGTACTTGATTCTCCCTTTAACATAAACTGGTTGGTATTACGTGAAGCGCTGTCCATGAAAACAATTAGCATTATTTAAGAGCACAGTGTGTTCTGTTCTGCTTTAAAGGCCCAATGTCTCGAAAGAGACGCAAGAAGAAATACTGCAAGTCTTGTGTAGGTAAGTTGATGTACGGTGCAGAAATAAGCCAGCCCAGCTTATGCTGAATGTTCTTTTGAGATTTGTGTTTACACTGTTTATTTTGTTAGCACTTTGAGCAGCTTTGGCGAATCCAAGTGCGTACGGAAGAGCAAAGACATAGTTATTGGGCTCAATGCGGTTACTCGACGTTTAGAATCGCAACCTGAAAGTTTAGATTCGCTTCTTCGAATGGTATTTGTATGTAAGAACGACATTTCTCCTCCAATTCTTTACGCTCACATACCTGTCATGGCAGCGATAAGTCCAAGCTTGTTACTTGTTGCGCTTCCTTTTGGTGCGGAGAGGCGTTTAAGTGAATTGCTTTCGGTGAAGCGAGTGGCCTGCATTGGTATCAAGGTACAATTTGACAAGTATATACTTGTTTTGTTGTTAATAATATTCGAGATTGATTCGATATACGTTTGCATTGTCTGATGATATATAGAGAGAGTCGACGGGGTTTGATAACCTTTATGAATTAGTGCAACAAAAAGTACCACCAATATCCGCTCCTTGGCTAAATGGTGTTCGTGTTGGATTCGACTATCAATCGCCAAACGTAAAAACACTTGTCACCTCTGCTCCCGTTGAAAAGAAGCGTCGACAAACTCGCAATGAGCGAAACAAACTTCCGCAACGTACTAAATAACGCTTTGCTTGAATTTATGGAAGGTATATTTAGAGAGAGGGAAAGAATTAAAAAGTAATTAATTATATATAATAATAGTGATCTATTGTCTTTAAACGTTGTACTTGATAATTAGTTTCGTTCTAATTATCTTTTTAAATTAATACATTGATTAGCAACCTTGACGCGTTCATATCTTTTTGAGGCATTACTTATTAGCTTTTTCGTTACAACAAAAGTAACGAGCACATTTATCGATCTCCAATTTTCAAAAACCCATATCTCAAAAGTTTTTGTGTACTTTTTCCTTTCATTGATATTCCACATAAAGCAGGAGTGAGCAATGCGTTGAAATTCCGAATGCCTACATCTCAATAACTTTCTTATCAACTTGAACGCTCTTTCTTTGTTATCAAGTCGTCCGTAGCAATTGACACGGAAATAGAAACAATCAGGCTATATAAGTTGTGAACGTTTATATGGGACTTGTGACTAAATGCAAAAATACTTTTATACGATGGATCGCGCATTGTGTGGTATTTTAGTTAACGATGCATGCGAATCTAAAGTTATCGAGATAACTAGGGTGTTTCTGTGTTACAAATTTTGGTTAATGATAGTTGGTTGGGTTTACCCGAATAGTGCTCTAAATATCGCGTGTAATTCTGGGTGTTCACTGCACATTGAAATCATCAATTCGATTATTCACTTGATAATGTTTTCGTAGACATAGTTTTAAAAATAGATACATGATTCTTTTATGTTATATTTGATATCTACTATGGTTATTGTATGATAAAGACATAGAATAGAATATATCAATCGTCGATGCTGTTACATTTTATCGTTCATATCAGATTCTTGGCAATTCACCAACCCCACAACAGAAACAGAATTTTTTGTCACAAGTGGATTCAATTATTTTTCTGCTACTAGTTAATGTGAAACAGCAGGCTGTCATCAAGTCTACTGGTTCTCTTCTTCCTTTTCTGCCTCTGCTCGTTTCTTTTCTTCCTCGTTCACAAGCCTCACTACTGTAGCAAGATCAGGAAACGAAAGCAATCTGCTCGTATATACTGCTTGAGGATGTAGTTCCTCATCTTTTTTCACATTCTCATCAGTCTTGGAAGCCTTCTTAGCTTCCAATGCCTCACGCCGTTTCTTCTCGGCAGCTTTGAACTGGTTGGCTTCCTGAGCTGCGGCAGACAGCACGGGCGAAGTAACAGAGTTTTTCTGGGTAGTGGTCCTTGTTGGCGTACTGTTGTTTCTTTTCGCTAGAGGTTTGGATTGTGTGCTAGAATTTCGCTGTGAAGATGATCTTGTTACATTCGTCGGTGATGTCTTGGTAGCGGTATTAGTGGTGGTACTATTAGTTTTTCGTGGTGTGGACGTTCGCGGCGTAGTCTTTTGAGTAATGTTTGTTCGCGTATTCCTTTGTGCAGTCGTCCTCGTGGTGGTGGTGGTGGTACCACGACCTCTTGTTCCTTTCTCAAACGTGACTTTCTTACTGTTAGATGGAGGAGGTTGTTTTACTTCAGGCTTGAGCTTAGACAGCCAGTCCCTTCCGATAACAGCTTGTAAGACGTCAGCATCAGGCCTCTGGTCTTGGTCTTCATCCCAACACCAATTCATCAATCTTACATAACATTCGGGAACGTCTTTTGGTGGATCCGGTCGTTTACCTCTGCAGATTTCAACTGCAAGCCGTGTATCGTGCGCTCTATCACCGTATGCCTTTTTGCCAGTTGCTATTTCCCACATGATTATGCCAAAACTGTATATGTCAGCTGCTTTACTATATTCTTCGCCCTGTAATACTTCTGGGGCCACGTAAGGAAGGGAACCGTATACTTCATCATAGTCAACATGTCTGTGTGATGGGCGACACAGACCCAAGTCAGCTATGTATGTTTGCATTAGATCTAGGCTGAGAAGTACGTTTCCCGTATGGAGGTCTCGATGAAGTAAATCTGCAGAATGGATTACTGTTAAGCCCATTGCGATATCTCTGAGTATTGCTAACTTGTCATACCAACTAATGTCGTCAAAATGGTTTCTCAGGTAATGATACAAGTCGCCGTTATCAGCATATTCCATCACCATGATGTAGTCTCTGGTTGCTGGATGTTGAGATACTCCATAGCAACGCAAAACAAAGTCACTCACGAATGAAAACTGGTGTAGCTTTACCTGGAAAGCATTAAACAAGTAAAAACAAAAATTATAAATAAACGGTACGATCGAATAAGATTCTTTCCTTAAAGATCTCTAAAACATTCACATAAATTTACCTCGTTCAAGAAACTTTGACTAATATTCCTCGAATTGTCTAAACACTTTAACGCGACTTTTGTTTGTCCAGATCTAACCCATGTCCCAGTTACGTTGTCAAAATTCCATTTTGGCCCATCAGCCCAAATAGCGGAATAAACAGGTCCGAATCCTCCTTGAGCGATGAGTTCAATATCATTAAACTCTGAATATGGAATCCACTCTAGATAAGATCGATAAGTGAGAGCATTCAATTGCGTCTCCTTTATCAAATTATCAACAGCATCGTTCCCGCTAGTCCATTTGTTAAAACACTCTTGAAATTTCTGAACCTCACAAGATTGACACCAGTTATAGTCACTATATAGTTCTTTACACTGCGGACAGTTCGAAAATGCGCTGCGTAAAAGCATCTCCAATTCTTCGTCTACATCATCAATCGTCTCAGTCTCCTTTGCGATGGATTCTATTTGAGAGGACAACGGAGTTCCGGCGGTAGATTCCATCTTCAATCAGGGACCAAATGTCAAGAATTCTGTATGATTGCTTTGTAACTATACACGTGTGTGTCAGCCAACAGTGTAACGGCTGCCACGCTCACAGTATGGGGGAAATGTTTCTTCTGCAGATTTCCTCCGACAAAGGGTGAGTCGAGGGGGAAATTGCAGAAGAATAGGCTTTTGGTGAGATATCAAAATAGCGCAGCATCGAGTCAAACAACTTTCATGCAGGTAAATAACTAGGGAGGTGATATTTGCATTTTGTGACATTAGCTGATTATATATCACGTGAGATATTTGCGCACGCTTAATAGAGTTACACAGATGGTTATTATAATGACACTTTTGTTGTTATTTATAATAATAATACATTAGCCCAATTCCGATTTCTAAATAAACGTTATCTGCATATGCTAATACCCGGATCATTCGTAAGCTCGATTATTATGGGCATCAAATTTCTCTTCTCCAGTTTTACATATCATGGATTTGTTAAGAATGCAAGGAGTTGTAACAGAATATGGCAAACAAGTGAATCTTTTTTAATTCATTATAATTTAATTTTTGTTATAAAATTATTAAAAAAAGATTACGATTATTCACGAATAGTTGTCATATTTGTTTTCTTTAATCGTTATTTTTTCCCTTGTTTCATAAGTGCTCGCTTATTGACGGTTTACAAGTAATTCTTTCTTTATCTAAATATTTTCTTTAAAAACGGCAAAAAAATTTTGCCTTATTATTATTGTTGACTACTTCATATTTATATTTCTATGAGTTTGACTACAGTGGCTTTTATCATATTATTCCAAGTAGAAGTTTTGGCAACTTGCCTCTATACTTGAACGAATGACCTTTACCATTGGCGTTTAATTTTTCTATTCCTGGCCTGCATCAACTCGAACAAAAAAGCGCTTTGCTATTCAATCCTAAATGTCATATATGATACTTTTAATATGCTGACGTGGAATGTTATTCAATTTGACCGGGTTTCATTGTGCTCCTTCAATCAAGACGTAGCAAATGTCGAAGCGGCTACGTTATTGCCTATCGCCAGAGTGTTCACCATATCAGATATTCTGGTACTGGACAAAACAAGGAATTACAACCGATATAATTTCGGAGAATAAACTAATTAATTTCGATGCGTCTTATGGAAACATTAATATATTTACTAGATAGAAACGTCTTTATTTGTAACAACTATTGAACGAACTATTTTAATAGAATTCAACTCGCCAACACATCTTCCAACGATGGAATCTACTCTTGAGTATAATTTTGTAAAAGCATTTATTTTTTCACTATATGCTTTCTGCGTTTCACACGTTCGTATTAGTATGTAGTATCTGCGAAATGGATGACGTTTGGTTTTAGTCTACTGTTTCAAATTCCACGTCTGATACAGAGAATGTTAATGACAATTCGTCAGGTTGAGCAAGTATTCGATGGACAACAAGACTACTGTCTTCAATAGACCGAAAAAAGGCCAATAAATACCATTTAATTGTACAGATTCGCATTCATATTAAATTAGCAAAACCCGAGACGAATTGTTGTTGATTATTATCAATCATTAATATCAAACAATGTCATTGCAGAAAACGGCGGTGAATGCCAATATCTGTATTTCGACAAGTATTTGGCTCCGTGGGCATCGGCTTTAGCAGGAGGGTTGTAACATAGGCAACCAATATGTAATAAGGACAGTTGCCTAAATGTTCAAAAGTTTTTATTTGTTAGATGATTACGGATTATTGCTTTATAATTGCATAAAAATTTCATGCATGTCAACTCGTCCAATCATTTTCATGTGACATTAATTTGTAATACTGTAGCTACGAGTAGACAACGTATTTTTCTACCCATTAAAATTTACTGTTTACACACCAATGGGATACTGATCGAACTGTATGCACACGAATATTCGTGTTATACTGCAAAGAGTGACAAAAAATCGATTGGGATTGGTATCAGAGATTTCCATTACTGTCGCTCTACAATAAAAAACCCCCGATTAGCTGATTTAATCCTTAGTGTGAGAGAAACTTGTAATTATATTATATTAATATATTATAAAGCTGTATTAATTGACCAACCAAAAAAAGTTGAGCTCTGGGCCTGTTGAAGCACAATTGGCACAGTAAACAGATACATAATAGAATTTATTGTAAGAGTATTAAATTTTTGCACAATATGTCAACTATGTCAGTCTCTTTTCACATGCAACTCATCCGTATTAATAGAAAAATTCCTTTCAATTATCCGATCGAATGAAAGAAGATCAGAATTCAAGTTTTTTTCTATTGTTTTTGTAGATCTTTGGCACAAAGATCAGCCGGTTACCACAGCGTAAGTTGAATATCATTGGTTCTTATGGCATCAATTTGCACAAGCGGTGAACTAGCTTGTTTTGTCGTATACGTGCCGAGAATAGTAGTCATTAAAGTTGTTATGCATATGCTATGCCATATATTTTATCAACCGAGATCCGCATCACGTTGGGAACATGTTGATTATGGAAAATTTTTTTGCAATATTTATCATTGTCGTCAAATTGCCAATTTTATTCGAGTATTACTACATTGATGATGATGATGATGACGACGACGGCGACGATGATGATGATGATGATATTAATAATAATAATAATAATAATAATAATAATAATAATAATAATAATAATAATAATAATAATAATAATAATAATAATAGTAATAATAGCAATAGTAATAATAATTACATTGACTAACATTTGCGTTAATTTATTAGTCAATTAAGGTTTTAAGCCTTAAGATAGTGCTTTCCTAGATAAGGCAGGGGATGGGTATAGTCGACGCAGTAATGTTTAACCGAATAAACGAATATGGTATAGATAGACTGTAAACATTACCTCATCAACAACTTATCTCGGGTCACTGGGCAGTTGCCGAATTAAATAACCCAAACAACAACACAAGAACGTATCGGATTGGGGCTAAGCTCATATGGAAAGCTTTGTAAATACTCCTCACGTGGATAAAGGGTTTAACCGGAACACAAAACTACAAAGTGTGGTATGAATAACCAATTGAAAGAATTACTTCTTTCGGGAAGACAGACATTATTCAATTGACACTTTCTCCTTCTTCCGATTAGAACTATGTGCAGTTCTTTGTGAGGTTTCCTCTTTGCCGAATGTATAAAGATAAGTAAGCATATGTCAATTCCCGATTTGATTGATAATCTGGTAAATCTAATTTATTTCCGATGCGCAGCAAGGCCATCGATCATCCGCAGTGTGGCAATGTCCCATAGTCCCTATGCCATTCGGGGCCTTCATTTACCCATGCGACCAACACCAACAAGTCTCATGGTTACATTATCCGATTGCATTAATCTTGAATCATAAATACACAACATTGTTGCAACTATAGGTATTATATTCCCCCTTTTGTTAAGATCGACAATTAAAAATTAATCCATATATACCAGAGGCACAACACAGGCTAAAGAACATTGCAATTGATTTAATGTTTCGTTGCTAGCCAGGTTCCAGCGTCTCTTATAATCCCAAAAACTAATCAATAAACATGACAAAAGACGAACCATCGCAAACAAACTTACAACCTGACTCAAAATCTGAAGAGTCGGAAAATTCGTTATCAGGCAATACCGAAGTAAATGTTGATGATCTGCCTGCAATAGCTCTTGATCAAGATGTAATGCGAGTAATAGAAGAACAAACATATGTCAAGTCTGGCAAGATATCGTACATTCAACTATATTCTTATGCCAAACCTCTCGATTGGTTTCTTATGTCTGCTGGAATAACGTTTGCCGTAATTGCTGGAGCAACTATGGTATGTAGAATAATGAATATTAATCTCTAGCGATTCACAGTGCATAATACTAAAAAAAAATATATTACAATTATAGCCACTTAGTACGATATTATTCGGTAAAATGGTAGACGTTTTCACTTATTATCAAGAAGGGCTTACCACTCCGCACGATTTCCAAACCAAGATAAACCTTTACGCTCTCCTCTTTTGCTGTCTGGGGGTTTTATCTTTTGCCACGACATATTTATACATGTCAACATGGACTTATACCGGAGAAAGGTAATGATCGTTATTGCCCCGTGATTATGCCCCCCGTCTTTCGATTTACTAATTAAGTAAGGTCTACTTCACAGAATCACACGTGAAATTCGCGAACACTACTTACAGGCTACATTGCGACAAAATATCGCTTACTTTGACAAACTTGGTGCAGGAGAAGTAACTACGCGTATCACTACCGATACACACTTGATACAAGATGGCATTAGCGAGAAAGTACCATCATCGACATCTTATGCGGCACAATTCATAACTGGCTTTATAATTGCATTTACACGAAATTGGAAGTTAACGCTTGCAATTGCATGTGTTATACCTCTCATAGTAACGTCAGCTTCGACCATGAACAAATTCAGCTCTCTATTTGTGAAGAAAAGTTTGGGATTCTACTCGCGAGCCGGAAATATAGCAGAAGAGGCAATATCCACCATTCGCACTGTCGTGGCCTTTGGTTCGCAAAAGAAGTTATCCAAATTATACGACTCGTATCTTGACGATGCAAAGCATCAGGGAATTAAAAAAGCGCTTGTTACTGGTGGTGCGTTTGGTGCAATATTTTTTTTCATATACTGTGCCTATTCATTAGCATTCTGGTATGGATCTCGACTGCTGATGCAAGACCAGCTGTCACCTGGAATTATCGTGAACGTATTCTTTGCCGTGATTATTGGGTCATTTGCACTAGGACATATTGCTCCTGATCTGCAAGCTTTCTCGTTTGCTATTGGCGCCGGATCAAAGATATTTGAGACTATCAATCGTGTTCCCCCAATCGACTCTATGAGCGAGGATGGACTAAAGCTGGAAAAAATCAAAGGTAGAATTCAAGTAAAGAACGTATCCTTTATATATCCTGCAAGACCGAACAAACAGGTACTTGATGATGTGTCAATCGACATTGAACCCGGGACCACCGTTGCTCTAGTTGGTGCGTCGGGTTCGGGAAAAAGTACAATTGTGTCTCTGGCGCTTCGATTTTATGATCCCGTTAAAGGGCAAGTGTTATTGGATGGTCATGATATAAAATCACTCAACCTCAAATGGCTTCGTCGGCAAATGGCACTAGTAAGCCAAGAACCTGTCCTATTCAATACCACAATATCGGGAAACGTAGCCCACGGTCTGATTGGGTCTCATTTGGAAAATGTTACAGGAGAGAAGAGACAAGAATTAATTGAGAATGCTTGCAAGATGGCGAATGCACACGATTTTATCATGAAATTACCAAATCAATATGAAACAATAGTTGGTGAGCGAGGGTTTTTGTTGTCTGGAGGGCAGAAACAGCGCATAGCCATTGCTCGTGCCATTGTAAAGAATCCCCAAATATTGTTATTGGATGAAGCTACCAGTGCACTGGACACACACAGCGAGGCCATCGTACAAGATGCTATCGACAAAGCGTCCAAGGACCGCACAACAATAGTAATAGCTCATCGATTATCAACAATCAGAAACGCAACCAAAATTGTAGTTATGAGCGAAGGTAGTGTAGTAGAAATGGGCTCACATGACGAGCTCATGGCCAAAGATGCGGCATACGCTCGACTTGTCGAAGCACAAAAAGTAGAAAATGATAGAACCGAAGTAACTACTTTGGAGGATATAGACGAAACCAAGAAATTACAGATAGACATTGTCCCCGAAGAGGATGTAAATATAGGTCGAATAGTACCAAATAGAGCAACATCAGTATCATCGGAAGTGCTCAAGAAACAAAAAGAAGACCTTGAAGCAAACACTAAAAAAACTGATCAGTACTCGACATGGGAGTTGTTCGTCAAAGTTGGACGCATGAACCGCTCAGAACTTCCACTTATCATTTTAGGTCTATTCTCATCAATGGTATCTGGCATCATACATCCGATATTTGCCATAATATTCGCTAATATACTTTCCACGTTCTCCAAGACTGGCGACGACCTTCGCTCGGGCGCCAACTTTTGGGCCCTAATGTTTCTTATCATTGCGTTTGCCATCCTTTTGTCTTATTTCACCCAGAACGCTGCATTCGGCTTTTCGGGAGAACGACTTACAGTGAGAACAAGATCCATGTCATTTGCGGCAATATTACGACAAGACATTGAATACTTTGACGATGAGAAACACAACGTTGGTGCTTTAACAAGTGCACTATCTCTGGATGCTACCCAAGTGAACGGGTTGGCTGGAGCGACAATGGGTACATTACTACAAGTATCAACCACTATTATTGGTGGATTAATCGTTGGGTTTTCGGTTGGTTGGAAATTGACTCTTGTGTGCATGTGCTGCATTCCTCTTCTTATTGGATCCGGTGCTTTGAGAATGAAAATGCTTAACGGTTTTCAAGCAAAAACTAAACAGGCTTACGCAGATTCTGCTCAGGTTGCGTGCGAAGGTGCTGCCAATATACGTACTGTTGCCTCGCTTACTCGGGAAGAGGACCTCGCAGAGCTATATCGTAGACATCTGGATGGACCAATGCGTGAAGGTGTCAAAAATGCATTCGTCGCGTCGAGTGTATTTGCTTTCGCTCAATGTATCATTTTCATGACCAATGCTTTAGCGTTCTGGTATGGTAGTCACTTGTTTAAGACGGGAGAATACGACTTGAAGAAAATGTTTACCGTATTCATAGCTATTATCTTTGGGTCCATGTCTGCTGGGCGTGCGTTTGCGTTTGCACCCGATATAGCCAAGGCCAAGTCCTCGGCTGCCTCGATCATTTCTCTGCTTGAGCGTGTTCCAAAAATTGATACCTGGTCAAAGGAAGGAAGAAACTTGGAGGAAATTGAAGGACAAGTCGAATTTATTGACGTACATTTCCGTTATCCAACAAGACCCCACGTTCCGGTATTAAGAGGATTGAATATCAAAGTGAAACCGGGTCAATTTGCTGCTTTAGTTGGCGCTTCTGGTTGTGGAAAGAGTACGACCGTTGGCCTGACCGAAAGATACTATAACATTACTAGTGGGAGGATTGAGGTGGATGGCATTGATATTACGACGGTTAATGTAAACGATCTACGTGAACATATCGCATTAGTAAGTCAGGAGCCTTCACTATATGACATGACGATAAAGGAGAACATATTATTTGGAGCGAAACCAGGACAATCACCAACTCAGGAAGATATTGAAAGAGTTTGTCGTCAAGCCAATATTCATGACTTTATCGCTGACCTCACTGATGGCTACAATACTCGAGTGGGAGGCAAAGGTACACAGCTTTCAGGTGGACAAAAGCAGCGTATTGCTATCGCCCGTGCATTAATAAGAAATCCAAAAATACTATTACTTGATGAAGCAACGTCGGCACTTGATTCAAGGTCAGAACGAGTAGTGCAGCAGGCTCTTGATGCCGCTGCTAAAGGAAGAACAACCATTGCTATTGCTCATAGACTATCTAGTATACAGCATGCAGATATTATATACGTTATTAAGGAGGGTGCAGTACATGAACAGGGAACTCATAAGGAGTTAATAGCGAAGAAGGGCTTGTATGCTGAAATGGTTCAGGCACAAGATTTGCATGCAACTTAATGATAATTACATATAATAATGATCACTTATAATATTGTAAAGCAATCAACTTGTATTAAAATAAAAATTTATTTCTAAATAAAATACTAATGATAACAATAATAATTAAGTCAGGTTTAGTGCGTCTCAGAAATCGTCTCTTGACCGTTACCATTGACATTCGCAAGAACTTGTGCCCATAGTCTGTCAATCAAGTCGCTTAACCAGTCTGTAAACCTTAATCCTGTCAACCATTCTTTAGGGAGTTTGTTGTATCCTATTCTCGAGCCTAACAGGGCGCCTGCGACAGCAGCTAAATGTGGACGAACATTGTGTACGTACCGAAATTGAAACGTATGTCGTATAACGTGCATCAGTTATATTTGTCAGTGTAATTTGCAATCATCTCGTCTAAATAATACTCACCATTCGTATCAGAATCTCCAGCCTCTAACACGAGTTCCGTAATGATTCTCTTAAATGCCTCGCCCTCGCTGTCGCATTTGGACAGATCACGCGTGAAGCAATAAAGCGCGGATCCAAGACATTTATACACGTATCCAATAGCATTATGTTCGTCTAGATCGAGTGCGGCAATATTTGGAGGAAAGCAATGCTGTAACAATTCTCCTTCACCAGAATTAGTCTTTAAATTCGGTCTAATACGTCCTGGATCCGTCTCTTCGGTCTCATTATCCATTGGCGCGACGACCATAAATTTATACTTATTGACTACGTTTTGGGTCAACGTCAACATCTCATCATCCGCGCCAAAAGTATCCATCCCGGGAGGAGGATTATTCGGTATTGTCGGTTTCTGTCGGGGAGTGAATTGTGGTCTCGTAGATAGTCTTGTTACCCATCTGGGGGTTCTTTCATTTGAAGATCTGCCAAGCAATGAATTACCAAAATCCGAAAGTCTCCTCGCAATCGAGCGCCTTGGTACTGCTTCGTTTTGTTCTGCCGTCGGCACTTCGCTCACACTTTCCTCGTTATCTATGTTTTCTTCGGGGCGATTTCCTGGTATTCCTGATCGCATCCAGTTTATCACATCTTCGTCTTTTATTTCCTCACCAGAGCCTTGCGTTTCTCCTCTCAATATTCTCGAAACGATGACAGTACATATCACGCTTGCGACACAACACCTTGGATCAGCATGAGTAACTTTGGTCGCTTGTAAAGTCTGTTTAATCACCTGTTTCTCATCCCAAAAATAAGGTACGCCTAGTACAGCTGTTCGCATTAACGCTCCATTCGCGGCCATATTTTTGCCAAACTGATTCCACACTTCCCATGCTGCTTGATGAGGAGCGAAAAGGAATTTAGGGTGCGAGAGCACCGAACCGACAGTCAAACCGATGCCAAATGGTGGTTTGTCATCAAGTTCTGGAAAGCCATCTTTTGCCCAAATTTTTAGTCTGTTGGCAAAGTCTTTGGTAAGTAAGCGGCCTTTTTGTGAAAGAAGTGATTGAACGAGGAGAATTTGTTGATCTGTTTACAAAAAATGAAACAGTGGGGTGTTAAGACTAGTATTTTTTGCAGATGTCATAGAAATGAATAGCTCTCGACTGTATGCTTACCAGTGTCATCAGTCCAATCACCGCTTTGCCATCTGGCCCTGTGGTTGTCTAGGTAGAAAGGATATCCATCCTCTGTACCAAACTTTATTGGTCCAAGACCATACAGTTCTCTGGCTTGGCTCTTACTAAAAAATTCTGTGGAAAGGCCAATCGCATCACCGAGTGCAGCACCTGCAACGAATTTTGGTCGTTTGGATGTATTAATATTAAGGAAGCAAGAGAATTTACATCAACGAGCTCAATTACCAAAAATAAGTCCCTTGACTTTGTTATAAACTTCCTTAGACGGAAGCTGACTGATATTAGAAGGCAATGGCATGCAGAGAATGAATCCTTGACCGCAGTTACGGTTCCATTTTGCTTATCGTCATTTTACTGGTCGGAACTTTCCTTTTTGTTGAACTGGTTTAAGTCGCAAAGTTGCATTCTGTACTTCGACACTGAACGCCCATAAAACTGTCCCCGCTGTATATTTATGCAGTTATTTTTGAGTTGCTGACGAAATTGTTCAAACTTTAAGTTTCAAAAACCTCAATAAGTACATAGTTATCGTGTTCTATTACGCCATACATAGAGACGTTTGTAACAGGATTTTTCATCAATAATTCGGGAAAAAATATATATTATTCAAATATTTACTTGTTCCGTATAATGCTTCCAAATCCTTAATCATGGCTATTTATTATTATTCTTGTAGCATTTTTGGGATTAGGCCGAGAACAGTCATTGCCTTATCTAACGCTTGAATGCCATCTGACCGGAATGTTTGATGGACTATAGAAAAGAATGTGATTCCAATATGAAATTTTCGCAAGCTTTAGCTAAAAATATTAACAGCTTTTCATTATTTTTATCCAGTGTCGAAAATTGGGATGACAATAATTTATTTAAGTTGGGTAGTTTACACTACTATGCTACACAATCAGTCGATTATACATGTCTAATTGCATAATGTACATTTACTGGCTGTCTTCGATATCGACGTCAAACACGCCTTTGCAAAAATCCTTTAGCACTTTCCCAGGTTCACATCCAACACACAGTTCCACATTATTTGCAAACTGTTTACTCCATACTCCAAACGCTGCCGTTTGGCGAAACAATTCCATATCAGCAAACCTCGTCTCTGGTCTTCTGTCTACGACACACATGCCTCTCGTATAATAGCCCTCTGGTTCTACTCTTACGTCTGTGAATTCAGTCTTCCAATGTGATCGTCCCATTATGATGTCAATCAACATTGCGACGACAGCCGGATCATGAAGCTGGATAGCTCCCGACGCCGTATTGACGTAGGCATGTTCGAGAAAAGTTGACACGAACAGAGATAAAGGCGACGGTTTCCGTGTTACATAGTCAGTTACGTACGATTTGGGCAGAAGGATCTTTGATGACACTGGAACGGAAAGTTGGTCAGATAGAATAGAGATGACCATTATTCTTCCCAAGCGAATATATGATGAAATAATAATAACCTTCTATAGGAATCATGATAACGTGCAATGGTATAGCATTTCCATCTTCAAGTTCCTTTCTCCTGTGCTCAATGCTTTCATTTGGATCATAGCCCTTTGTGGCGCCTACAATCACATTAGCTGCGTGCGGATCAGCAAAAAAGTTGAACTCTGCTACAGGGGTAGTATTCCCTTGACTATGGACCGCTCCTCCCAGTAATATTATTTTATCAACTCTGGAAAATGTTTCTGGATCTTTCTTATATGCCAGGCCCAAGTTTGTCAGTGGCCCAAGCGCTACGATAGTGACCGTAAGTGGAGGAGCAGTCTGTAGTTGGTATAGGATTTCATCTGCAGCTGATCGAGAAGAAATGGTACACAGATGAGAAGATGTTTCACCCTTGAGTATAGATTCCCAGTTCGATGGAGTGTAGAAAGGGTGCTGAAAAGAAAGGGCGGTCTATTAATGTAGAGCGAACAATAGCGTATACACATATTATGAAACTAAAGCCTTTTAGTGTTACCGTAGTATGAATCTCTCCGAAGCCGTCCTTTCCGTGGTAGTAAGTACCATGAGATCTCTTCGCTTCCAAAGGCTTATCGGCTCCTTTTTAATTTCAACAATACATAATACGTTGATTAGGCAGGCTATCATCCGATCCTTCAATGACACCCATTGTTTCTGCATACCAATTGCGACTATCGGTTTGGCTTTAGTAATGACGGTAGTCATTGTATCCATTTCATTTCCCCAATTCTTATCATCTCCTTCCGGTGGTCTGGCATTCTTAATGTGGTTAACCTCAGCTTCGAGAATGTGAAATACTGTCAGCGCGTTTCGCGAAGTCAATTCTACACTAGTATTCCCTATCGACGAGAACGTAATCGCAATTAATAAAAATCATGTTTTGCAGACAAGACATTAGTAGTAATCGCATACCAAAAACTGTAGTTATTGCCTTGATCTCTAAAACAGGCGACGACAAAGCCAGAAGAAGCGCAAGCGCATCGTCTATCCCTATATTATTTATGATGTTTGAAATTCCGACTCGACAAGAAAGCACTTGAATGAAAACCTATTCGATGTTATTCCGACAATACCAGGGTCAGTATCTATTATGACAGGTATACGCTCCGTAGTTTTCATGATAGAACGGACTTGTTGCGTTCAATGATAAGAAATACGGAGCAAACTATCGGGGCATGATGTAATTGTACTCAATCGGGGGTATCATATGATGCTATTGTGCTTTTATTATTACAACAGTATTACAGGATAGATATTAATAATTAAAGGTATGGGGGGTATGGGTTTTTCCTCTCTCTCTCTCTCTCTCTTTTCTTTGAACGATAACCACGTTTAAGCAGATTATCGGATTCCGGTTGAACCGAATCCACCATTTCCGCGTGCAGTGTCACTAAGCTCCTGTGTTGGTATGTAACAGGTTAAAATTGAAATCGGATTATTTAAATATGCGGCTATAAAATCAATACTTACTCCTACTTCGATAACATCGGGAGTACATATTCGTTCGAGAATTAATTGAGCTATGCGTTCTCCTTCGCAGACTGTAGATTAATTAGGATTGTCAACATTGGGGACATTACCAACTTTATAAAGCAAAAGGGAAAAAAATACAATACCCTGATATTCGTGTTCGCTAAAGTTAAACATAAGAATGCCAACAGGTCCACGATAGTCGGCATCTATTACGCCAGCTCCGCAGTCCAAGAAATGTCTTAATGCTATAAAAGGAACCATTTCAGTGTTAGCAAATTTATTAGATAATTTAAGGGACATACATCATCGTGCTCGCATACCCAATCCGCTCCTTGGTGCAACTCGCCCATATGTACCCTCTGGTACGCAAATAGACAGATCAGTCGGAACTACAGCTTTACCATGCGCGGGTATAATCGTATTCGTAGAACTATATATAAAAGAGACCATTACATTATCTTGTCAATAAATTTCTTTCTCAATCATGTCCAGTATGCGACATGTTCTGCGGATGAAATAACAATTTACCTATACAAATCATATCCAGCGGCTTGAGACGACCCACGCTTTGGCAATCTTGCCTTCTCACTCAGCTTTTTGACTAACAGTGCGGGACTCTTGTTGTGTTTATTCATTGTTGAAGAATCAAAGTTATTAAAATGTAGCCTGTCCCAAGAGCTATTACTTTTATACAGTTGACGTCAACACGTGCACATATGCTATTGACCAATAATGCATCACATTGCTTGTTGTCGTGAATCTCGCGCCTAAAAATTGTTTACGGAAAACAAAGACAAACCGCGTCCGCACATATGCGTGTAGTAAAAACAACTCGAAAGCGATAAGAATTGGCGATCGCGACTATTTTAGAATACATCGGAATTTTCCACGTCGTGCATAATATGCTTTCGTTGTTTATTATAGATTAACATTCACAATTTAGCTATAGATTCACGTAAGCAAAGATCTGAGCTATTCAAATTCTAAATGCATAGTCGAGAAAGGCGCGTTCAATTATACTTTGTTGCACGAGCTTCTTTTTGGGCATTTGGATTTCTTGTCAAGTTTGCATTAGCTGTTAGTTATCACGTGTTCCAACATTGAGTGTACTTTCGGGTTTGAAGCGTTTTTTCACAACACCACAAATAATCCAGCAATAACATTATAAATATGAAAGCATTTATGTCCTTTCCCAGTATACCCAGCCGTGGGATTTGTAATATACAGAGTAAGGCAACAGCAGATAGCTTTTAAAGATAATTTATCGTGAGAAGTCTTAAATTTTACGAGTACGCACCAGCTGAGATCAAATAAACCAAGTATAACACAAGACTTGGCTTTACATTAGTCAGGTGTCTCAATTTGACATGTGCCATCGTGATTAGCTGCTTTAAATACGGGAAATTAACGAATGGCAACTACAACATCCTTAGTTTTTTAATTGACATGTGTCAGTTTTAATTGGCCATGCATGATTGGTGGAGAAATTGAGTATTCAAGCGGAATCAAAACCTTAACTTGCCCTTCTCTTGTCCATACCAAATATCTTGAGTAATGATGTCAGCTAACGAGAATAATATTCCAGCGTCAACCTCAATCGAAATTATATGGAAGTTTTTGGAAGAAGGAATAGACCAGATCATGAGTAAACTAGAGCAAGGGTTGAACTATAAAAAATATATGGAATTGTATACGTATCCTTTTGCTAAAGGATTGAGTCCAGTTGTAACGAAATGTAATGGAAAAGCGTAATAGAAGTTGAATGGGACAGAATATGGCTGATTATTGGTACGCGCGCGCGAAGAATTCTAAAACGTTTAGAGTGATCTGTTGTTTAATGATGTACACATATCCGTGGTTTTTTTCTACCCTTTTTTTTTACCTCCTTCAGAAATCCCGTTTGCTCCTTAACTGTCGTTCATAATTTGACAATCAAGTGGAATTTATAATTATTGTGGTGATGCTCTAGGTAAGCGAGTGTATGTTGATCGGTAAGGGATGCTTACAAATAAACAGAAACGTTTATTCTACATGTCTGTTTTCTGTATATCTTTTTCTAGGTGCAAGATCAAAGGGAGGCGATTTATATAGTCGTCTTCAAGATTATTTCGAAAGATATCTTGATAAAATCAGAAAGGTCAGTTATTAATTGATCAGCCTATATACTTACTGCTTACGGTTGAGGATGATATCACTCATATTTGCAGCTGTGCCCCTTATGAAACAACTGTGGATGTTCGGATGTAGGACTCGGTACAATATACAGATGAGAATTTATTACGACATTATGCGAAACAATGGGAGAGATACAAAGCGGCATCGACTTATATAAACCATGTATTCAGATTTCTTAACCGTCATTGGGTGAGACACAAAATCGATGAGGGTCACAATATATATGACGTCTACACGGTAAACTGTCAGCAGGAGCCTTTTCGTTTATATGTCGTTTCCTTGATTGCTAATCACTGTCTATACTACCGTGTTTAAGCTTGCCATTATCTGCTGGCGTGAGAGCGTGTTCAACCACGTTCAGCATCAGATGACAACAGCCGTGTTAAAATTAATCGAGAAAGAGAGAAACGGCGAGATGGTTGACGTTAGGTTAATAAAATCTGTTATAGGTTCATACGGTAAGACCGCTAAACTATAGAGATAGGATTTGGTAAAAATAAATTGACTGATCAAATTGTACGTTACCTAAACAACGAATACTTTAATAGTTTCTCTTGGACCAGATAGTGACTCACTTGAAGTATACAAATCACACTTTGAACTACCATTCATCGAGGCCAGCCAAGTATATTATAAAGCTGAAGCAGGGAAGTTACTCGAGAAACATAGTATCACAGATTACATGAAAAGAGTCGAGACAATATTATCTGAAGAGCGAGATCGTGTTGTGTCATACTTGAATCCAAATACCGAAAAACCGGTATGTCATTATTATTTTTTTATTTGTATTGTTCATGCTCTATAATAAGTTTCTTGTCGTATACTTAGCATGCTTATCATTGCTATAGCTTCTTAATGCTTGCGAAGATATACTCATTAAAGAACACATGAATAGTATGTGGACGGAATTTCAGAATTTACTCGACATGAATAAGCTTGATGGTAATTCCTTTTTTTTAGTTCATCAACAATAGAATAAACAAATTCTTATCTCTATCATTTCTGTAGATTTGCGCATAATGTATTCTTTTCTGTCGCGAATTCCAGGAGGTTTAAATCCATTATGCACGCAATTTGAAGAATATATGCGAAAACAAATGGTAAATTTTCAATATCGCATTCGTATGCATCAACTAGGACTATAGTTAATTATTGTACATATTCAATATTCTAGCGCCCTGGAATGACCGAGACGACCCTAATTCAAGTTTATACAAAAAATTCCGAAATAGTGCGGATAGTCTTTCGTGGGGATGAAGAGTTTGTTGCTTCGTTGGACAAGGTATCTTATGAATTGTCTGTTGCTCGCAGAATAAATCATATTCATTCATGTGATTTATATTAATTCTAGGCGTGTCGTGAATACCGCAAGTAACAAGACTGCAAAGTTTTTGTTTGTTGCGAGATATGCGGTGCCATAGTATTAGCCAAGTGCGATATTGTTGTGAACACTTAATCATATGATCTAATCATGACATTTTATTATCATCATTATTATTATTAACGTATATTTATAAATCAACCACTTTTTGACCCTGGGGTGACGATAACTCCTTATTAGACATATTCGCGTATGTCAGGGTCCTTATTGATACATGCAAAGTACAAAAGAGTCGTTTTTTATAATAATAAGTAATAGAAAGGTTAATAATCAATCTATTTTCAACGCTAGTGATGCCATTTTACAGATAACAAAACATTAAAAATTTGCCAATAAGTAAGTATTTGAAAATTATAGGCTTTGTGTGTTATTTTACGGATATGCTGGACTGAAGGACGGGAGAAATGAACGCTACGAAAGACCACAGGTACAAGATTTCAAGGTCTTACAATACAAACTCACCTTTACATGAAACGATTAACATTCCAATCTTTGCCTAAAAACGCGCGTTTTCATGCTTGTAGACATCCTTTGCCTAAAAGTGTCATTCTATGTTACATTTTCCTAATAAAGTTAGTTCAAGTCGAAAAAAAAAATCCATTTACATTTAAAAACTCACGTTCAGCGTTTTTTCTCTTAGGTTTATTCAAAATGTCTACTTTACGTAATGCATTACATAGGCGTGATCACAAAGAACGCGCACAACCTCTCGCTAGAGAGAAACGTGGTTTACTTGAGAAGCACAAAGACTACGTTCTTCGTGCTAAAGACTATAATTTTAAGCAAAAGAGATTAAAATCTCTAAAGGAAAAAGCGTTTTTTAGGAATCCTGATGAATTCTATTTCAAAATGATAAATACGAAGACAAAGGTTGTAATAAAGTGTTTATGATACCTACGTATACTCCTTTACTGATCTCGTTTCCTCTGCTTAATGGGCGGTTAGGGAGGCGTGCATATAGCTCAGAGGAATGACGCATACGCTGGTGAAGATATTAAACTGTTAAAGTCACAAGATTTAAACTATATAAAAACTCAAAGAGATATTGGGAATAAGGTCAGACATGAATATATTGATTATGTTGGTCTTTAAGGCGATTCTCTGATATGAAATACTCGACATTGGGATAGAAAGTCGACAGGCTTTTAAATGATATGATCTTATTGGACAACGGCGACGAAATGATTACCGCAGACAGTGAAGACGCAGAAACAAGCGTAAAACCAAAGCATATAATATTTGTAGATAGCAAAGAAGAAGGTATGCAAGTCTTTTGACAACTTGATTGTAAGCGGATTTATTATACCGGTTAACGCATCTGATGCGTTTTTTCTTTTTTTTTTACAAATTAAACGCTCAGCTGCTAACTTCGACCCGGTGAAGCACTTTGGCACGCTTCCTGAATTAATCAATCAAAAATTTAACAGGCCTCGTGTAGAGACGCTAGAACAGGAAAGAGCAATAGCGCCAGGAGACGACATGATTATAAAAGTAAATCACAAATTGTATCATTTTCACATTTGTTGAGATTTTCTCTTTTCGTTTGATATTGCTAAACATGTTTATTCATGAATTAGGAACTGAGGAAGGAACGTCTCGAGAGATATAAAGAGTTATTATCTCGAATTGAGCGTGATAAGAAGATGAGTAAATTGGAGCGAGAACTAGTTATTCAGAAAGCATTAATGGTTAGTGGGCAACGAGTACAGTGTATCGTGAGATGCTTAAGATGATGACATGACTCTTGTTCTCTGATAGGGTAAAGGAAGACGTGTCAAGATAGGTGAAGATGCCAATGGGTTGCCTATATACAAATGGAAATATGATAGGAAGAAATGATAAAGTTCTGTTGTGGATTGTGGGTTTAATTACGGGTATAAGCGTTACTCTACTGCTGTTTTTTAGCACTAGAATAACGCCATTGTCGTAGATTTTCCGATAATGCATCAGAAAGATTTATTTATTCTTGTTCGGCCTCATGTAATGTGCTCACAGGCGTGAGCTCTATTCAAGGTGAAGCGATTTGATATCGAATGTCGTTTCGAGAGAGTTAATGACGAAACCGAACACTGATATCATAGGAGGGTGCCGATAGTTTAGATGATTTTCTTGTAAAATTGTTCACATGATCACAGTTAAAATAACAATTTAATAGAAAATATAAATTAATATGAACTTGGTGTTGGTCATAAGTGTGTTTGTGGACAGACTGACATTTAAGAATAACCAGTATATTGAATGCACGTCCTACGACGGAAATGGATTGCTTAAAGGACGCAAGCTAGCATGAACGGCAATAGTATACTAATACTCAAGCCCCCTAACTTTCGTTTTGTTGTCTTATGGTATATGTTTTTCAACTCGCAGCTGAGTGGATAAATTATCGATGGATCGACCGTCGAATAATGCAGCAATCACTATTATGCACACTGTCTAAATCTTTGATTAAGCGGAATTAATTGCATATTCCGTTTTGACATAGGTCTCCCCTTCGTATCAACACTCTTCTCCTAACATGAGTTGTAGCCCTAGTACTACGCTGTCCAGAATTGAGAGTTTAATGACGATGATGTAGTGATGAGTATAAGTTGGTTCTTCGATACAGTATCCGATGGGAGTTTTCTTAAGTTTATACAAAATTCAATATAAGAATTATACAAGATTTATGCCATTTTGTAGCTCAGCTTTTTACGAATCTGCATGTGCATTTAAAAGGCTTATATAGAGGTTTTTTCTACAAGTTCAATAGTGATTTGTTCCCAACATGGTGTGCTTATAAAGAGGTTTTTTTATATGATGCGCTTAGAGGAGTAATAAAGGGTAGTCGCGTGATTACATAGGCACATCGCGACGTGATCGTCGTCGATCATTCGATGTAACTATAACGTTTAATACTGTTTATTCCTACTTGATTTATCAGACTATTTCTTACCGGAAACATTCTTCCTATACCAAAGACTACATCTCAATCGTGAAGAAGTACTTGAACGTCTATCAAAACGTCCCTGTGAAAAATTCCATACACGAATGAAATAACAAAACCACTTATATTTTTATTGTTTTACTGATAGTCGCTCGGTCAACGTTGAAACTATATTTAGAGTTAAAATAAGTTGCGGGTTGTTTAATTCTTAAAAAATACAAATCTCTTTCCTAAACGAGTCGTTAATTGACGTTCTTGTTATATTCTTTATTGCACAGAAATGGCACGTCTTGGGGACCGCACTCAATCAATGTTTTAATTTGCAGAGCCAACAAAAGTGTGGGTTGGAAAGTATGACACGGACACCTACTAATATTTCGGTTTTATTATTTTTCTTTTAATTGTTATTATGGTTAATAATTTTCTGACACAGTACAGCGTATACATACTGTATAGGCGGACTGATTTGACTAGTGCCAGAAAGCAGTGTCAGCATAGCTGATGCAAGTAATTTCTTAACTAAAATGCTATTTCAGGGCTTAGGATGATAACACCATTTCCTAAGAAAGCAAAATTCCTCCGCTTTACATTTAGTCAGGTGATCTGATCAGCTTTCCGTAAAAAAAAGAAATTTTACTTTTTTATTTCTAATTTTACATTTATAATCAGGAATGAGTGGCAGTGGGAATCTAATAAAATATTCTGGACATAATTACTTTCGTCAACGGCTTATTCTTTCCTTGTTGAGTGGGAAGACCGTTAAAATAGACAAGATTCGTTCAGATGATGATAATCCTGGTTTAAGAGGTTGATGATTTAATAATTGTGTTTTGAGTTGCTTTACAATTTACGCCTGCTAACGAGAGCGTATGTGACAGATTATGAAGTAAGTTTTCTGCGATTGCTAGAAAAGGTGACTAACGGATCGATCATTGAGATAAGTTATACAGGTGAACGTCCCACTTATGATTTGCCTTGTCAGTCTCTACATAATTTATTTTTAATATTTATAGCGCTCACTCACCTTTTTTGAATTGCAGGGACGAGCGTCTTGTATAAACCTGGAATAATCACCGGTGGAAAAGTATTTCATGAATGTCATGTCACTCGTGGAATTGGCTATTACTTAGAACCGATGATTGCATTGGCCCCGTTTTCCAAGAATCCGTTTAACTTGACGCTAACTGGAATAACCAACGAAAATACTGATGTTTCGGCATGTATTTGCATATGTTTGTCATTTGTATAGTTAATGAGCAGAAATACGTTCTAACGCACGCATACTCAAGGTTGATTTGATAAGGACAGTTATACTACAGCAACTGAAAAGATTTGGAATCGAAGAAGGATTAGAATTGAAAGTACGTTTAACTATTACCAGACAGCATTTATTGCTCTTTAACGATCATCCTTATTACGAATAACTCGATACCCAATAGATTTCAAAGAGAGGGTCCCCTCCACTTGGTGGCGGTGAGGTTAATTTTCAATGTCCAATAGTGCGATCTCTGAAGCCATTGCAATTTATTGACGAAGGACGAATAAAACGTATTCGGGGTATTGCGTAGAGTATCTATTCTCTATGTCGTCATTTGTTTGTGCACCAAAGATGTAAAACTAATTGGATCTCTGCACTCTTGTCTTTACGCAGATGTTCGACAAGAGTCTCTCCGCAGAACGCCAATAGATTAGTTGAATCTGCAAGATCAGTCTTAAATAGATATATACCGGATGTGTATATATATACAGATGTATATAAAGGGGAAGAATCCGGAAAGTAAGCTTGATGCGATGATAAATCTAGTCTAGTTCGTGTCAAGAAATCAGAGATAACGCTGATACATTTATGCATAGATCTCCTGGTTTTGCACTATCTCTAGTTGCAGAATCAACAACAGGAGCGCTTGTGTCTTCTGAAACTGCGGCTAATCCAGGAGATACGCCTGAAGATATCGGGAAGCGTACAGCCCAGTTGCTGCTTTCTGAAATACGAAAAGGCGGTTGTGTTGATTCCATTAGTCAATGGTTGGTCTTGTTACTAATGGTCCTCGGGCCAGAGGATGTCTCAAAAGTGAAGATTGGCAAATTGAGCGCATTCTCGTAAGTATTCAGTTTGTGTGTACCCGAACGTTTGTGTGACTTGTGACTGTACATTACAGTGATTTATGTCTCTATTATTGTTGCCTATCGACATATAGGATACAGTATCTCCGAGATATTAGAGAATTTTTTGGTGTAACGTTCAGAATAAAACAAGACTCGGAAACTATTTTCTTGACTTGTGTTGGTGTTGGCTACATCAATTACAGCAAGAAAGTAACTTAGCCGATTTATTGTTCAATATAAAATAGAGTTAATTTCACACTTATTACTCCTCAACAGTAGTTGTTTGAAGACCTACGAAATGGAAATTACCCGCAGACATTGATTAATAAAGTGATAGTGCAATATAGATCTCATTTAAAAAAACCACAGAAATCCGTACTTTTAAACGTAGTGACGGGAACAGCAGTAACATAAGTGTACAGCTTCTCCTTGGCATCTTCTGCATCATTGCGCCGACGAGACAATCTCAATCGTACTCGACGAGGAACATTTCTCACTCCTTGCTTCCAAACTTCTTTGTTTAATTGCGGATCAAGACGAACATCACTAGTTCCCATGTGTTTCTTGGCAAAAGCCTTGATGGCTTTAATGGCCTGCGGGGCCCGTTTTTTGAAACTCCTGCGAAATGGTTCATGTGACCGAATCAGAGGAATAAAGCAAAGAAAACAGCGTCTGGTCAGATACGAGCAAATAGTGGGGATAATTGTTGGCAGTATTGTGTATGTACCGTCCATGAATGTATTTATGTAGGTGAATAGTGTGATCTCTAGTGACTACATCATTCATCGCACTTCGTTTTCTCCTTTCCTCTTGTTTTTCCTGTTTTTCCTTTTTTTCTTTTACCATTGTTCTGGATTGAGAAAAGGATGATATTTTATTAGAACGACAAAAAATCGCCTTTTGACTTTTGTGTTTTGTTTTGTAATCGCGTCTGATGAGATTACTGCATTCTTATATTAGACATGTTCAGATGGATGCCTACCCGTTTTCCCTTTACAAGATGTTAAATATGCATGAACTTTCTGGATGTAAAAGCCTTTAAATCACGTTACATAAATCTGCATTCACTTGACATTCAACAACCAACCAACGAACAAGGATCGACATTCAAGGTATTCGTGACTCGGACCATTTAAATAATCCCAGTTTCCCGTTCGTCGCGGTATTATCCAATCACGCATTCAAACGCCCACATTTAACACGACGTAGGTGCCGTCAATAAAGAACGCATCGACATTGACGTACACACGAGCTCTCCATACATACTAGGTCAAAAATGTCTCTTGTTAATATAACAGACATCAAAGTTCTTGACAATCCTTCATTATTTGGTGCGGATTTTCGGTTCGAGATCACATTCGAGCTCATTCAACCGTTACAAGAAGGTTAGAACACGTTATGGGTGGGAGTGTGAGTGGAGGTGAGGAGGGCGGTTAGGATGGACAATTGTGATCATTATGTTACGTGGTATAAAAGCTCACCTACTTTTGCTCTGGTTTGTTTAGATCTCGAATGGAAAGTAATCTATGTGGGTTCTCCTGAAAGCCCCGAATACGATCAAGTTTTAGACAGTATTATGGTGGGTCCTATTCCACCAGGAACGAACAAGTTCTTATTTCAGGTATGCGTGACATAATGCTTGCTGTACATTAATGTCTTTGTGGCATGTAGTAAATAGTCTTTTTTTAATGAACAGGTGCCAGCTCCGGATCCATCCAAGATCCTTCCGGAAAATGTTTTAGATGTCACTGTAGTAATTATTACATGCTCGTATCGTGATCAAGAATTTGTACGTGTAGGATACTACGTTAACAATGAATATCTTGATGAAGAGCTAAAAGAAAATCCCCCCGAGAGACCCATAATTGACAAGCTCTATAGAAACATCCTTGCTGACAAGCCAAGAGTTACAAGAAAGCCTATTAAATGGTGAGTGTGTGGTATTTGTAAATTGAGCGGGTGAGGGTTGTCTTGATGACATTCGGGAATACTAGATAGTATTTTCTTGGGCGTTGACGAACATTCATAGTATTTACAAGCATTTAAACGTGTATATTACGCACATAAATCATTAAACACGATCTTGAGACAATTATTAGCAGAATGCTTGTAAGAAGTGTTTCGAACAGGCAAGTCTCAATATAATTGCTTGCCTGGTTCTAAAATGTCTCTTATTTGAGACATGGAATTGAGTACATTATTGAGGATATGCATTACTGAGGACAATGCTCGGTATGGTTTATTGAGAAAACGTCATGCATAATTGACCATCATTGCAATTTTTTGATTAACTCAATGTCTGATAATCTAGAAGGTATGTAAGTTGAAATCCAGGTTCAGTACATATTTATGTGAGACAGGATAACTATCAGTTTAAAATGCAAGCATTTGTTTCATGATCTAATCCTGCATAGAGTCATTGTTACTATAGACTAAATTAGCTAACTCATATTACAATCCTGCTACTTTCATGGTTAGCCGTCTATTACATTTTACTCTTAAAAATTATTTTGTTATTATTATTAATCTTTGGGTAGAGCAAAACGGTCTAAATGAAATGCGCATATACGTATAACGGCTGGCGTGGCTGGGGCGTTAGCTAATATGGCTGGATAAAGGGAATGGTCAACACTATTTATTTAAAAAAGGACGTTTCAGCGATTTCAATAATTTTGATTTACAGAGTGCAATCTTAACGTTAACTCGGGAACTTTTGCAAATCCGAATCGATCGACCTAATACACACCTCTCGTGTGCGTTTACGCCGCTTGTTTGAACCATATGGTAACGGTAGCGAAGTTTGAGCGATTGCATGCTGGGTGCGCGCCAATACGGCCACATCTCGTTGCGAGTCTAGCAGAGTTCGGACGGCACCCTTATTATTGTGCCATATTGTTAGACTACAAAGATTGCCGTCCATCATTTGCCAGACTTTGCGCGATGCCTCTCACCTGTCTTTCAGTTTCTAGAGCCAAAAACACGTGCTTGCGCTGAAGGAAGAAGCGTCGTTAGAACATGTCAGACGGAGGAACGCTAGAACAGAAAGCAAAATAAGGGTTTGGCTTCGAAGGCGGGACTGAATAGCTCATGCGATTACTACTTGGGCCTCACAGTCGGACAGGTGACACATGCGATTGCTTGAGCCCCTGCCTAGGACAAGACTCACAAACGGATGTCGTGGGTCTTGCTCCCACCGCTCGAGGAGCGGTCTTCACACCAATTCGAAGCATCAACCCATAAACTCAGCATGGATCCACGGCTCTCCACTTGGCTCAAAGAAGGGGACTGAATAGCTCATGCGATTACTACTTGGGCCTCACAGTCGGACAGGTGACACATGCGATTACTTGAACCCCTGCCTAGGGCAAGACTCACAAACGGATGTCGTGGGTCTTGCTCTCACCGCCCGACGAGCGGTCTTCAACCTCAGAGAGCACTTAGTAAAATTCTGTTAAACTTTTGCAAATATTCTTGAGGAGGTCCTGCGCACGTCGATTTATGCGTTCCGATTGTTCCAGTGCTTCTTCTTGTGTATCTAAATAACGGAAATAGTCAAATCCGGAACGCCTCGGAGAAGTCTTCCACCGTTTCAATGTACGTTATTTTCTGTAAGATAGACGCGTCAGAGAGGCTCAGCGTGAAGTGATCAAGGGCCCAAGCTCCAGCAACGATAATTTGCCACCTGGCCATTGACGTAGATCCGCAAGAACAGCGACACGTTTCCTTCAGTGAGGAACCTACCTGAATCGCCATGTTCGTCTTGTCCCAAGCACATACATAATAATAATAATAATATTTTGGACAGAAGCACTAGCGGGAATGTGCACGAATGAAGAAAAAATCGTGTACAGATCTGTGCACACAATTCTTACTCGAATAAACATAAATGACGTCAAGCCGAATGATCCAATGGCATCTGGGGTGCTAGACCTGACGATACCTACATGGAAAAGTTGCCAAAACACGTTCTAGAGTTGCTAACTGTCAGCAACCTAAAAGAAGTCGAACTGCCGCCGCAAGCCCAAGAATTACTTGACAAATTTGAAAAGACATACGAGGATTTGGGAACTGATTTCAGTCTATCAGATATGGATGGAATTGGTTACCCAGTGGGTATAGAAGATCCTCAGCTCAAGAAGAATATGGGGATGATATGGAGTGTCCTAGAGGGGCTGTAAGTATCAAGCTATTACTATTGATTTGTTAAAGTAATAATATTAATATTAATATTAAACTAATTATTGTACAATTTTAGGCGGAATACTGGACGTGCACGCCAAGATTGGATGAGTCGGACTACATATACAGTGAAAATGCCCTTGTGGTAGAAGCTGTGTCCAGAATTCTCATACCAATTTTTGGCTATTGCTCAATGCCACTTACACGAGCATGGTAATATATTAATATGTATTATTATTATTATTATTTTTAACGATTTTGTGACATGGCATGCTGACACACACAATTCTATTGTTACACTACAGGGGAGATCGTACAAGTAAATCATCTAAACATCGGAAGGTGCAGATGGAAAACCTGACTTATGCATCTTAATAGATTTTCAGGGATTTGATGTGGAACTTGCTTTCTGTGAGTTTTCATCACTGGAGATGGGACACCCAAAGCATCGTGATGATTGGCGGAAGTCTGTGCGCTCATGTAAAGATGGCTCTGATATGCTCCGAGGCGAGTATAGTAATAAGATCACTAAATAATATACCAAGTATTGCAATCTTGAACAAAGGGGCAAATTTGACAGTTTCAGTTATAGACACCTTCAATGGTAAATTTTTTAAAGCTTTTGAGATATTAGATATTAACTTACTATTAAGGCCTGTAAATAGACAGAAAGTTGAAGACCTGCTGAAGAAGGCTCTTCAATTGAATACATTTGTTGATGACGTAGCCTGTGGAGTGAAAAGAGTGTTGGAAGAAAGCATGGTCTTGCCTGTTGATGAAAATGAGGAAGAAGACATAGCAACACGGGTGGAGAACTTAACCATAGCATCAACACCCTACATATACACTCCACAGAAAAGATAATACTGATTTGACAATTAACTGAAATATGTCATATTTGTCTTATTTCCTTTGAAACATACACACGGGTATTAAGATCATAGGTAGAGGTTGACTGTCATTCATATGAGTAATATCTATTAATAAAGTGCATGTTGTGTCTATGATAGACGTTTCGAAATGAATTTAATTCATAATGTATATTAATATGATATATTGATATTAGTAAAAAATGATGGATGGTAAATTGTTTCGACCACATGCCATGCAAGCGGGTTTTGATAAAGTGATTAGTATTATTATTACGACACAAGCGCTGAGTGTATACGGTGTGTCTGTGCCACCCGAATACGAAGTCCACAACACCGTTCAGCCACCAAAGCTTATGGTTGATGAGCAACACAAAGTGTGCCATACTTTTTATTAACGAGATAATATGGCGTTCAACCTAAGCAGCACCATCCTTCCCCCTCCACTTACACCTTTTTAAAGAATTGACACATTTTATTAATATGACTGATGATAGTAATAGATCATCATAATTTATTACAAATAATGGTTCATATTCACGCTTACATAATAATAATATCCTACGAAGGAATTGAATAAATGTTAGAAACACACCAACAGTTCACTCTCGCATATATATATTATATATACGTGCAGAATCTCCATTTTAATTTGTCATCTCTCAAAAACAGTGCTCTAATAGACCAGTGGAAATTGTTAGCTGTGAAAGAAAGTTATGTCCAACTCCGCAAAAATCGTCAATATTTATCAAAACTCTCTTCCAAAATGTCGTGCATTAGCACTCAGTACTACTACTATTATTACTTGCCTCGTACAGTGACACCTCTATAAGTGCAAGCCCTTGGGACCGAACATTAGTTTGCATTTATGGAGGTTTTGCATTAATATTAATAGAAGTTTCCTTTAAGGAAAGATTTTCAATTTACCTTAAATGTTGTTTATTAATTATTATTAGCTAAAAATTGCGTTAAGCTGCTTTGTTTCATTGAATTTACAATCTGACAATATTTACAGAGTTATTGTGAGCTGAGACAAAAGAAGTGAATATACTATAAACAATACTATGTTGCGGAAATATAATTGTTGATTTCAAACTTATTATTCTTGTAGAATGAAACACGACCTGAAAACAATTCACTCATGATACAGTATGTAATTCTAACATTGTGTTAATTGTTACACGGCATATACGGATAAACCACGTGATTTGCATTTAGAGATATAGACGGGACTCGCAAATCTATTGCAATTGCAAAAAATAGAGGTTGCATTTAGTTACTAGATCCCGATGCTTGGGACTGAGAAAAAGCTTGCATTTAGGGAGGTTTTGCACTTATGGAGGTTGCACTTATGGAGGTTGCACTTATGGAGGTTGCACTTATAGAGGTGTCACTGTATTACTATTACTATTACTGATTGCTAGAAATTGTCAGGCTCATACTTACCAGAAACGTTTTCATACTAATAATAAAGAAACAGTGGATGTATTAATATTGCATTTTTGCTATTATTATTACCATTTGTTAAAAGTTAGTCTTGCGAAGACTACTAAAGTATTAGGCGACGAAAAAAAAACGGGAACTAGAGAATGTTGGAATGAAGTAGTCTTGCGATTTCGGTAACGACGCTTTATCACAGGGGTTAAGATACTCTACCTTTAAATAAAGATCTTCCTCGAACTAAGAGAGAAGAAAAAGTCAAGGTTATGCTGTGTGATAGAGCAACTTCTTGCGCACATTTTTTGTATACGGAGTATGGGGAAATGCAACATCAACATGTGACTTGTCATAGGAGCGATTGATTTCAAAATAATTTTGCGATCGGCATGCCAATAACTACTATCAACACAATTGCTAACCCCTGTACTAGGGACATTTCCCATGGCTATTATCGTTATAGGGTATACTTAATATTAATAATTAAAAAAAGAAAAAAAAAATAAAAAGTATTGTCGCAAGTATTTACCATACCGATAATAATAAGTTATATAAACAGCGCAATTTAGTTCTCGACTATATACATAGTAATAGCAATAGCTATATTTTTGACTGCAGAACCCTATCCCTTCTACTTAAAATAGGATTATTATTATTATTATGGATATGGAAACCGAAAGTCTTCAATTGTCTACCTCCTCCATGGCACATACTGAAAAACATGAAAGTTATTTCGATAGTCCAATGGAGTTGTGGAGTTATTTGCAGTTTTTAAAAAGAAAGCGGGGCAAGAACTTCGACCGTTGCAGTATAGACTATAAGGAGGAAGAGAATAAGTACAAGAGTCATATCGGGCGCCAAACTAACTATGAAAAAAGACGAAAGTTGCAGGCTGATTTTGAGCTAAAAATTCTAGCCTTAGTTATTATTATTATGTATTGAAATATACAAAATGTTCACTTCGTTTAAAAGAGTTTTAAAAATGTAAATCAATATTATAATTAATATTATTGCTGTTTTCAAAATCCTAGAACCCCCCCTCGTGACAGATTGTGTAAAAATTTAATCTTGCCGCGCCAATAATATTTAACCCTTTATATCAAGGATTACCAAATACGTTACTTGTATTACAAGGAAAAAGCCACACTTCTTCGACCTCTCTGCAGAACAGGCGTTAGAGATCGCTAGTCAGAAAAGCTAATCTAAAACCTGCGCTTCTAAGTTTTCTATTCTTCGGGGCTTTAACTGTGTTCTTATTATGTATACTTATGCCGTTAGGGTCGACATATAAAAATCGTGCATAGTAATCAAGGTAAACAAGAGAAATCGCTGGTAATCACCGTAACGTTAAAAACAGTCTGAGGCTTCAAGAGAGTTCGTTGTAGTAAACTCAGCTTCTGGCTTTAAGTAAAAGTGACCACTGGAGCGGTTTGTTTTGGAAATCACTGAGAAACGGTTTGTACCAACCTTTGTTCGTGAGCGCAAGCGAGTAATCATAATTTGCAACATTTCGTGTGGTGATCGGTAAGGGGGGTTCTAGAATTTTGAAAACAGCAATAATGAAAATACCAATATTATTTCTCATAACGCACAAAAGGAAGCATTTTTATTGCTGAATCCAAGGCTGAGAATGTTACAAAATCCAAGAAAATTAAATCACTCGAGTCTATGATCAAGATATTGGAAGGTAAGTTGTCTTCAGCCCAGAAAGATGTGATTTCGATTCAAAACGACTCATCGAAAAAAGAATCCGAGATATTATCCCTCAAGACTAAAATGGCTGAAGTGGAACGTGAGTTAGCTTTAACGATTAGCATCTGAAATCGGAGGCTATATCGAAACGCGTAGTTGGTGGGGATGACGAGGGGCAAAGCCTCATTGTTTCCACAATAAAAATATCAAAGTCTGATAATGTTTCTATCATTAGTGAACCTAGCCACCTTGTGACTGCCTCCGGCAATAAAAATCTCAGTAAATATTTTATACGTGGAAAAAGTATGAATTATGAATCAAGCTGGAAAAATCGATGGCAATATTTCGACATCTACCAGGCCTTTAGGCGCCTCTTCGAGGCATGATGAGATTACTGAACTATCAAAAAATGATACTGAGGTTAGTCCTAAGGTAAGTGAGGGAACTAGCATTAACAAAATTAGACACCCCAATCTCAAGGCTCGAAGAGCCATTGCTCTGCAATAGAAATTCTGAATATGACTTCTTACCTTGCACAGCTGAAAAATTATAGCCCTGCTTTAATCGAATCGCATTCTTAGATGCCAATAGGAGCCATTCCCTGTCGTAGCAAGTAGTTTGATGTCCTCTATCGGCATATATATTATTTACTCTGTTAATTATTGAGGTTATGTGGTTTGTTATATTGAAACGTACATGGAATATAGGTAAAAAAAGTGATCGGCTATGGGATACATGGGCTAAGTATTAGAAATTATCTATTCAAACTTGGGTACGAAAAAATATTATTAATATTGTATAAGTATCATGATATTGGGACTATATTTATATTGAGCTGATTGCCTTGTTCCATGTATTTAGAAAACTCTCAAGTGCTAGTTGATCTGTTTTCAATATATGAGATAAAGTAGGTTGTTCAGTAATCATCTCATTTTTTCTCAGTCTTGAATTGGCCAATTTTATCTGGGATTGTTATATGCTCTTTATATCGCATATGATATACTAGCTTATGGAAGAAAACATCATATTTCTCGATAATTGGGATAAGTACATTTAGATGTTTTGTAAAATCAGAGCATATGGATTTTTTATCCCTTCACTTATCAAGAGATTATCATTTTCAGTGTATGCCCTGGCATACTCTACATACTTATACTCTATGAACCTTTCCCATAATCTCTCGACAGTATTAGTTGCCTTAAAATCCTCAAAACTAAGCCATTCCCCATGAAATATCTCGTAAGTATTACCTATCTTCTGATGTAATATAGATTATGCAGTTTTGATTGCATTCTTATAAGCGCGTTTGCAAGCATATCCACGATTAAGCATCATTTTGGAACCAATACCACTCAAGCCATCTACATATTCCTCAAGCCATTTCTTGGCTTTTTTCTGAGAATACTCATCAATTTGCTTATATTTCTCATCGAGTCTTTGGGTTGGTTGCTGGATCTTATCAGAGAGCGGTAGTTGGTATCTATTGTCACAGTTGATAATCTGGCACAAAGGCCAATAATTTTATTTTGGAGATAATATGATAAGTCTATCTCCTTTCCGAGTTCCTTTGCCACATCAACAAATTCTATTCAGTCATTAGATTTAACTTTTTACCAGATAAATCAAAATCAGTTTTGGGTATTACATAACTGAAACGCTCACCCGGTTCAGGAATCTTATCTTTATAGGTTTTTCTCATTCGCTCTATGAACCACTGAACAGTTAAGTTTTGAACATTGGGTTTCCACGTATCAGTTTGGTTGAACTGGTCAAACTCCCATTGTTTAGAATTTGTTACAGCATTTCTGAGAATGTCTTCAACAATTTTATGGAGTGATTGGTTATCCTCGACTTTCCACATAATTC